TATCTCTAATTTCACATCTTCTTCTGAATCTGGCTTGAATGTCTGGCAGTTCCCTGTTGATATACTGCTGCAACCAGTTTTGAATTATGTTCAGCAACATTTTACTTGCATGTGATATTAATGATATTGTTTGATAATTTCCACAGTCTGTTGAATTGCCTTTCTTTGGAATGGGCACAAAAATGGATCTCTTCCAGTTAGTTGGCTAGGTAGCTATCTTACAAATTTCTTGGCATAAACAAGTGAGTGCCTCCAGCACTTCATCTGATTGTTGAAATATCTCAATGGATATTCTGTTAAATGATGAGTATTTTTGCAAGATATTTTATCAACAGCTGTAAGGGACACTTATTTCAACTATTGCTTTACATTTTAATATTAACTGGGTTTTTCAGATACTGTATTGATAAAGCACACACAGGTTTAATACAACTTTTCTTTTTCTGTCTACACTTTTTGATGATGATTTATACCCCAAATCAACCTCAAATGTGATCAAGCCATGAACTATTAGAATTAAGTCATTTGTTGTTTATTTCTCTGAGTACTTTGTTCTTCCTTCAGAGCATCAAGAAATTAGAAGCACAAAGTAACTTAGCTTTTTTTTTTTTTTTTAGTCTGAGTCACCCTAATTAGTACTTAATTAAAGTGTTCTGTCAACCATATAGAGGTTGTTTTTGAGTTATCCAAATAAATTTTAGGTACCATAGATTTTATTTTGGGAGACCCTGAAGAGTACTAATTAATTCAGAATCCCCATCAAATATTCTCTCAATTCAGTGTATTTTAAACCTCTAGTCAACAAAAAGCAACTGCTTTTATGGTCCCCAGATAAAGAAATTTATAGCCTGAGACTAATGGACTTTGGCTTATTTACGGAAGAGTATAGCATTAGATAGTATTCATATTTAATTGATAAGTTATTTTAACACAAGTATAGTTTGATAATATGTATGGGTATGAGAATGATGTAAGGAGATGTTAGAGCAGGAAGAAGGGACATTAACTTTTTCACAGATTAAAGCAAGACAAATGCACACATGCAGACACAGACACATACATTGTGAAAACACTCCAAAAATAAAAAAAAAAAAAACAAGTGATCATGCTCTCTCAACCCTGATTCAAAGCTTGCTTGTTTGTCATTTGTTCACTGTTTAAGTATTCATTGATCACTGGCCTCCCTGCTTTCAGTCTTTCCTTTTCAGTCTCACCTTGTTGCCTGACTGATCTTTCTAATGTTCAGAGCGTATCCCTGCTATATTTAAAAATACCCTGACTCCCTCTTGCTAAAACAGGGTGTGCAGACCCCTTTCCAACTTGCCCAAGGCCTTTTGTGATCCCACTTTCTTCTCTCCCCTCTTCTCATGATCTCATGCTTCAATATCGTGTTACCATGTGTGCTTCCTCTGGTGTGCTTATTGCTCCAAGCCTTTGATCATTCTGACTATGCCATTCCCCCTATCTATAAAGCTCTTCATCTTTTCTTTTTCTGCAAAATTCTGATTCATCCTTCCACATACAGCACTGACGTCCCCTCTGTGAAGCCTTTCCTGGCCACTGCTTCATAGTTAATCACTCCCTATTCTTAGCTACATCTGAACTTTGAAATATTTCTTATTTCATAAATATGAAACTGCTTTTCATAAATGTGTGTGCACATTTGAAATACAGTTATTTATATGACTATACCTCATTAAAGGAGCCCTTATGGTACAGTGGTTAAGTGTTTGGCTGTTAATGGAAAGATAGGAGGTTTGAACCCACTAGCTGCTCCATGGAAAAGAGATGAGGCAGTCTGCTTCTATTAAAATTACAGCCTTGGAAACTCTATGAGGCAGTTCTACTCTGGCTTATAGGATTGCTATGCGTCACAAATGACTCAACAATAGTGGGTTTTTTTAAAAAAAAAAATCCAATTAGATAATGTGCATTTCTAGGATGAGGTACTCATCAATAATCTTTCAAACCTTCTATAAGTGTCATTACTATGTAAAGAGCAAAGAGCTTAAGACACACAAACAAACAAACATGTTGCCATTGAGTTGATTTCAACTTATGGTGACCTATGTTACAGACAGAACTGTTCCATAGAGTTTTCTTGGCTATAACTTTTACAGACTCTGATTGCCAGGCTCTTCTTCCATGGTGCCATTGAGTGAGTTTCAAATGCCAACCGTTAGGTTAATAGTTGAGTGGAAACCTTTTGTGTCACCCAGAGACCTTGAATTTAACACAGTGCCTAGGAAATAGTAGGAACTAAATAAAGTTTTCTTGAAGTAAATTCAAGTGTATCTTTTTAGATGACTAAGATAATCTTAAGATAGTAAGCAAATGATCATCATCCTAAAGAGTACCCTACTGATGAAGGAGAACCAATTACTTTATGGGACTGATGTGTGTGCTGTGGAACTTCCAGAGATCTGTCACCTAGGCTCTGAGGAATTTCCAAGTGAATTTATTAGGTTCCTGATCATGTTTGACTACAAGTGACAAGCTGGGCAGACAGGTGTTCACACACTATATTTCAAGTTTGGAAATTGTGCTGTATCAGAAAATTTTGTTGGACCAATGAATGTATCAGGGTTCCCAATAACATCTTTAGGCTCAGTGCTTCACCAGAAGGACACACAGAACACAGCAAAGCTGTTATACTCATGGCTATGGTTTATTACATTAAAAGGATGCAGATTAAAATCAGCAATGGAAAAAGACGCATGGAGCAAAGTAGAGAGTTTAGGCACAAGCTCATATGTGTCCCTACCTAGGGGAGCTGAACAGGACAAACTTAATTTGGCCAGTAATAATGTCTGACATGTACAATATACTGCCTGCCAGGGAAGCTCCAAGAGCCTTGGTGTCCAAGGTTTTTATTGAGGTCAGTTACCTAGGCATGTAGTACCTGCATGACTGACCTAAGATATTCAGTCTCTAGCCCTCCAAAAGTCAAACTGATATACCAAGGCCTAAAGCCTCAGGCATACAGAAACAGTCTTACCAGGCAGAATATTTCATGAACTCAGAGATGATCTCCCATGAACCAGTCAAGGGCCATTCTTTCTTTGGAATATTGAGAATTTGGATAACCAAAGCCTGCCAAGTTAATCCTTAATTGTACAACCAGTTTTTATGGTATTTGTTAGGTCAGTGCCCTTTGATATTATACCTAGAATAGTATGGGAGTCAAATTTTCTCTGCTTGGGTTTGAAGTTTGTTTGTTTGTGACTCTCTGTGTAACTCAGGTAAATTACTCAACTTCTAAGTCAGGGTTTGACCACTAATTTAGTAAGGAATAGTACATCGTAGGACTAGCATGAGAACTGAATAAGATAGTTATGGTAGTGAATGTTAAATGCTTAGGGCAGTGCTAAACATATAATAAAATATCAAATATTGGCAATGCTGCTGCTGCATCTTGGTGAACTGAACTTAAGAATGCATGCAACATCCACAAATCTGTGTCAGTGAGGGGCTTTGGAGACATTCCATGTTTCACTACTATATGACTTGGTCATATTATTTAACCTCTGTGCCTCATTGTTCTCATCTTAACATTTTATAATAATTTGACTTACTTCATGGGTTTGTAATGAGGATTGAATGAGAAATGCACATAAACTATTCATCCCACAGCCTGACATATAAAAACCAAATCAAATGAGTTGATTCTGACTTGTAGCATTCCCTGTTGGGTCTCCAAGGTGGTACATCTTTACAGAAGCAGATGGCCTTGTCTTCCTTCCATGGAGTGGCTGGTGGGTTTGAGCTGCCAAACTTCTTGTTAGCAGTAAAATTCTGTAGATGGTTATTATTCAATTATTATTCAGTTATAGAAGGAAAAATCCCTATTGTTATAATGCCAGAGATTACCCTGCATAATTTAAAAAGGTAACTTAAAAAATTAATGTCTCTTCTTTTTAGAACATGTTTCCATTTATATTTTTGAATAGTTTTATTTTAAAATTAATTTAGTATATAACTTTGCAGGAAATTAACTAATTATTTGTTGGGCTGTTATTGTCATTGTTGATGGGGTGCCTGGAGCTGTCTATGGTTTCAAGGCACAGAATTAAATGTAGGAGATGAGTACTGGACACCCTTTTACCATTTAAAATGAGTAAATTTACCTCATTACCTTGATTCTATAATATTTCTCCCTGGAAATAACAGTTAAGACTTAAGGTGTAGTTGGAGCAATTCCAGATGACCAACACAGAATAGCTTGGGAGATCTTCTCAGTGCTGCAAACCCTGTATATTTTCAAATGAGGCAACAGGCATCAGAAAGTGTGAAAAAGACAAAAATTTTAGTTCTGGACTTTATTGCCTCAGCATTCCTTTCCTTACAAACAAGGAATGAATATTTGAGAGCTGCTGACTGATGGAGACTGCCCTTGTAAAACACTATTACTACCTAGTCCAGACCCTCAAGGACTCGTCTTTTCTTAAAACCTCAGGAACATTTGCATGTATGAGAAATTGATTGTTTCAAACATTTCCATTACTCTTTCCTGTAAGATATATATTTTTTTAGAAATACTTTCAGATTTTTAAAACCCTCTTAATTTGTCATTCTTATCTCTCAATGGAAGCATGTTTTAATCCACTTTCTTTTGTTATTTATAGTGCTTCATCCCAAAAGTAGTTCTGTCTAAATATCTGTAAAACAGGCATGCAGCTTTATGAAAAATCTGTGGATGCAGATTGCAAACTCCTGTATGGCCAGCCATGTTGGAGTGTTGAGGACAAGTGTTGACTGCCAAGCACTTCAGATGTCTATTGTTCTTATTCAGTTTGCTTTCATAGTTTAGTTTCAGTTGACTAGATTCTTGCCGTGAGGAGATAAGGCACAAATCAGCTCTTGGGAGGTGTAGCAATTCATTGCTTCTCCAGTCCCTCACTGTCACCCAGGTTTGATGTCCTTGGGCTCAAAGTGACAGGGGATTCTGTCAGCCTGATGTTGCATCTGATCTGCCACTAATGCCTTTTTTTTCCCTGCAGAAGAAATGAGACATTCCCAAAGCTGTAAGAATCTCCTGTCAGAAAATGAATGGAAGGTGTTTGTGTTGACGGGAAATACAGGAACTCAAGCTAATGTCACACTCTGGGTGTATGGGGATGAAGGAGGCACTGGGCCAATAGTACTCAATAAGGACAATCCAGATCAGCTCTTCCTGCCAAGACAGGAGGATGAATTTCAGGTAAACAGAATCATCAGTAATGTTTCTCTCTGAATATTTCAAATATATTTCTGTAATACAGAAGAGTATGTTTTCTTGTGTGTGAGAGTGTGTGTATGTGTGTGTGTGTTGTGTGCATGTATGTCCTATATAAAATAGATCTCTGGTCTATTAGAATTCCCATAAATTGTCATAATGTTGATTATAATTAGCAAAGGAAATACTTTATCTCATATATCTTATGTAAGCAAGGAAAGTTATAGAGGAAACATGCTTTCTTTAAAGACAATTTGTTTATGCTATTGGTTTGAAACTGGATCCATAAGCTATCAACTTCATCTCAAAAATTATATCCAGATTTTATGCCATTAGTGGCTAAGGCACTTGGCTGCTAACCAGAAGGCTGGTGGTTCAAACCCACCAGCCACTCCTCGGAAGGAAGGTTGGGCAATCCTACTTCCGTAGTGATA